TTTTTTTTTTTTTTTTTTTTTTTTTAAACCTATACCTCAGCAGGAAGGTGTCTGTGGAGTCTGCTGTGCCTCATACCAGAGTCATAGGGATTAATGTGTGTGGGTACGATGGGTTAAATTGCACAACGCCCCCTTAGTGGAGCATGACTTGGAAAAGTGGGGTAGTATCTCAGGTACGTCAGCATATTGTGTTTAGGGATAAACTTCTGAGCAATCTTCGCTCCATGAGGCAATCAGAGAAATAGGGAAAAGCAATAAAAGAAAAAAAAAATTTTTTTTTTTTTTTTACTCTGCCGGAGTAACGACAAGAACGCGATAGTAATCACCGTGGCTAAGCAAAATAATTGCATTATCTGGGGCAGTTACAGGTGGAGTGAATTTTTATTTGGTAATGCATAGGGACATCATACAGGAAGAATGTTTCGTATCCTCCCGATTGCCTCGGAAAAGGCATAAAAGCACTCGCAGTTCTGCTCCGCTCTCACCGTTTCTCCCGACTGGCTCTTCGCTGCGAAGGGGTAAGTCTGACACCATTGCTGTGACAGTGTTGCCGTAACTGTGCAGGATTTTATCTGAAAGAAGATTGCGATTTTTAGAAATTTTTTTGCGAAAATTTAGAAATACGTTCGCGAAACATTTGGAGCTTTCTTTCAGAAAGAGCTGGTTCCTCCTTATTCAGTGCCAGGCTGTAAAAGGGCAGGAGTTTTCAGAGCAGTTGCAAGTTTAGGATATCCCAACTTATTTGTAAGGAGATCTAATGAATTTCTATTTCTCTGAGCCTGACCATCCTGCCTTTATTCTGTCTTACTTTGCTCCCACTGACTTGTAATGGTGACCGCCAAGAAAACTTAACCCCGAGTCTCAAACTGAACCAGGAAGCCACCATCAGCAATAAGGTTTTCTCCTGTTTGTAATTATCTCTGGATTAATTTGAAGCCTGCCATGCGTTACGTTATGTTCTTGTTATGGTCGGGACTTCATTATTTTTTTTTTATTCCCAGCCTTTCGCTTTACAGGTTTTAGCAAGGCAGGAGAGAGACTAAGAGGAGCTGCAAATCGATTTTACGAGCCATCAGGTGATCCTTATGATTAAAGGGCTCCACAAGATTATGCGCAAGCTCCTGGTTCTGGCACAGTCACCTGCCACCTCGGTCATCTTTCGCAGGGACCACATTCACAGGAATCCTGGTTATACTGGGAACCTCACTGGTACTGCGTTCCCACTCCAGCGGGAGGGAATCAGGGATGTTTGTTGCTCATTTTATCCATGTAAAGAACGCGCTGGGGGAGCCCTGGTGCCAGCTGTAGCATCTGAAAAACTGGGGAGTAACACTCTCATTAACGACGGTCTCGCCTGAATTTTAACTCTGCGTCTCTGTTACCTCAGCAAACGGCTCTGGGCAACGAATTCGCTTCTCAGCCTCGGTTACTTCTTCCCCGAGGGTGGAATAACAACGACTTTTGTAATGATTGTAACGATTGCGGGCGGCGCAGAACCCGTGCAGGGTGTCACTGTGTAAGTGCTAGCCTGTGTTTCTGTTCTTTCCCAAAGTTATTTATAAAAGAACGGGCCAAGTGTCACAGTAAGGCAGATTCAGAAGGGAATGGTGGAAAGGAGAAATGGTAAAAGTTAGGAGAACAGCTCCAGTTCAAATAGATAAGTTCTTGGATTGTTAATGTGGGGTGGTTTTTTTTGTTTGTTTGTGGTTTTTTGTTTTTGTTTTTTGGGTTTTTTTTTTTTTTTTTACGTATCAAATTGGGTTTAGAATTAAGAATCAAAAGAAATGGAGATTTTTCCGGGGGAGAGGAGGAGGGCATGAGACGATGAGAAAAGGGACGTGGCTGCTGATAGAAAACTGAAACCTTCAGCCTCCTTCTGGTCTTCTCGCTCTCTTTTATTCTTTCTCTTCCAAGCGCAATCTCCACTCTATTGGTGCCCGAGCTTTCAGCCTTGTGTCGCCTCGGTGTTGTGTGTTTCAGGTTTATCCCCGTTCCTAGAAGACGTCTTACTGCAGGCAGATGATCAACTCCCGCTGCCTTGCACCCTGCGAAGCGACCTGCCCGCAGCCAATCGTCAACGCCTGGAACCAGCCCTGCGTTACATCCTGCGGCGATTCCAGAGCGGTGATCCTACCCACCGCCTGTGGTCGTCACCTTCCCAGGACCCATCCTCGGCTCCTGCCCTCGGGAGAGCATCGTGGGCAGCTCAGCACCATCCAGCACTGGGAGCAGTTTTGGGTCCATGAGTTCCCTGGGTCCAAGGGGCTGCTCTGGCTCTAGGATCTTGTACAATTATGGGAGGTCTTGTTCTTCCTACATGTCCAGCGGTTACGGTTCTGGGAGCCGCAGACCATGGTAAATGTGCCGCGAACAAGGAACAAGGAGCAATCACCCAGCACGGAGGAAGACGTGTGTCTCCACGAACCCTGTCACTGGCATTCCTTTCCTGGAGCAGTTGAACTTCGCATCTCGGAAAAGCACGCCTGGAATTCTCAAGCTTACGATTTAATTTCATTTTCTGACTCCTCTTTCCAGCGGCTCCTGATAATAACGGCCCCCGAATGAGTGATATCAATGATTTTTTTTGGGCTGGTTGAAAGTGGAATGAAATTGTGTAAATCTTCCTATGCCATGCAAAAAAAAAAAAAAAAAAAAAAAAAAAAAAAAAAAAAAAAAA